TAAGACTTTAGCCTACTATTATTAAGAAGGGTATAGTAAATTATAGTAATAAGTCTAATATTAGTTATATTAATTATATCTATTTTTTAGCTACTAGATTATTAGCTAAGTACTATAGACTTTAAAAGAATTATTAGTATATATACTAAAGATATTTTCTATATATTACTATGTAAGAAGGTAGCTAGAATACTATAAAACTTTAATTTAAAAGTTTAAAGTAGCTTCTTAGAAAAAGGTATATTATATATCTTTATATAATACTATACATAAATCTATACTATATATAGTAGAATATAGTGCTAGCTCTAGAACTATAGCTACTACTATAGTAATTATAGTAACTACTATAGGTAAACTAGGTAGTATAGACTTATTAGTTTTAAGTTATTATAGTAATAAGCTTATAACTATAGTACTAGGTATATATATAGCTATCTCTAGAGGATAGAGATTAATGTGTTATATTACTATTATATTTTAGTTACGTACGTGTTTTAATTACTTATTAGTTCTTATTATATATTTATACTAACTATAGTAGCTAAAGTTTAACCTAGTTATAACTATTTACTTTCTATTACTATTACTGTTACTATTACTCTTACTGCTACCTATTAGCTAGCTTTATTCTTATTCTATATTAATTCTATAGTCCTGTAGTAAGGTTTTATACCTCCTAAATTACTTCTATAAGTCTTCTTTTCTAGGTAGTATACCTAGGGTCTATAAAAGCTTACTTAAAATACCTCTTATTCTTAGTTAAAAGAGTATTATTACGCTGCTTAGTAGTAAGGCTGTTAAGTTAGAAGAGCTAGGTATTAAAGAAAGCTCTATTAGCCTTATAAACTTATATAAGAAAGAGCTAAACTCTAACCTTATAGAGCTTTACTCTAAGCCTCTTATTAAGTATAAGATGCTACTTAATATCTAGATTACTTAAGTAGAATATATTACTATTACGCTAAGTAATTCCCTCTATTTTCTTTTACTACCTAACTAGGTCTTTAGAGATCTTACTAGAGATATCTAGAGTACTATACTAGTACTAGCAATTACTTACCTTAATTCTTTAATTATTAGTTTACTACAAGATGTAGTATAGAAACTCCTAGGCTATACTAATAGGATTATATTATTAGTTAAGCATAATCTTAGTTATAAAAAAAGATAAGATAAGATAGATAAGATAGATAAATAGATAGATAAAGTATTTAGATCTTAACTCTTAAGGCATGTAGGATATTTATATACTAGCTTATTTATATAAACTATTATTACCTATACCCTCTCTAAAGCTACCCTAGTTATATATTTAGAATTACTAGTTAATTAAAGAGATTTTATAACCTAGCTATAGTTTATAATATAATCTAGGGTTTATAACTAAACTAAACTTTAACTAATAGCTACCTAGGCTCTTAAATATACGTCTGTACTAGTATATTAAGTAGCTAGTTATTAAAGAGACGTCTAATTAGCTCTCTGTTACTATTACTATATACTTTAACTAATATTTACTATGTAAAAAGGACTAGGTAATAGCTTCTATATTAAGTTACTATATTAGATTCTTACTGTGTTATATCTATCTGCTTACACTAGAAGTATAAATACGCTATAAACCTAAAATAATATATATAGCTATAAGTATAAGTAGTACTATTACTATATTTACTATAGTAATAGTAATAGCCTTAAGTCTAGTATACTTATTTCTATTTATAGTAATATAATATAGTATTAGTAGCTAATGTATATTAATACTACTTAAACCTAAGATATTATAAATATATTATATTACTTAAGATAAGATACTTTACTTAAATATACTATTATTTATAAAGTTTTATAATAAAGAAGCTTATAATAGTAATAAGTTAAGTAGTATAGATATTTAAATTTTTACTATATACTTTTCTATTAATAGTAAGTAATTTATATTATCTATAATAAAGCTATAAATATAATTATTTTTTCTTAGATATAGTATTTTTTAAGTAGTTTAACTACTTTATAGCTTACTTATTCTTAAACTTCTTATTAAGCTTAAACTTAGTAACTATTATTATAAAGTTAAGATAGTAGTTTATTAGATACTTTATATAAGAAAATTCCTTATAACTATACTAACTTTTACTATAGTTAGTATATAGAGTCCTTGCCTCTTTTAATAATTATATAAGATATTACTATTATAGTACTTAGTATCTATAACTATAGTAGAAGGCTAATAAAGTAAATTTTATTTAGTATAAAGTATTATTTATTAAATTATTTCTAAGTATATTATTTACTATAATAAACCTCTAGGTATCTCTAAATAGTTAGATTTAATAGTATTTTTTATATTAAAGTAGAAGCTATAATAATAAGTATAACTTATATAATAGCCTAAGTAAATACTACTTACTAATTACTATCTAATAAGGATTTTCTTTTATAACTTTAATAAATATTATTTAAATAAGTAAGTTTAAGTAGCTAATATATCTAAAGTTCTAGGTATTTTTACTATAACTAAATATTACTACAGCTTAGCTTATATATATATAACTTTACTTTTATATACTTTTCCTTACTTTAGCTTATATAGACTTATTTATTAACTATAACTCTTTAATTTCTTTAACTTAAAAATAGTTATTTTTAATTAACTTTTTATTATTTATAGTTTCTAAATTTAGTCTAAATAGTAATTAATTAGTTACTAATTACTTTTAGACTTATACTAGTTCTAATTACTTCTTTATCTATAATAATAGTTATAAAAGCCTTAATAACTCTTTCTTATATAATACTATTAACTATATATTTTACCTACTTTACTTTATAAGCTAACTTTAATTTAACTTTTTACTTTTAGTATAAATAATACTAATTATAGTTTATAAAATAACTATATAAATAACTAGTAATAAGTTTTCTCTAACTATAAATTTATTTATAATAATAATAAAGTAAGTTATTTTATAGCTTTAAATAAAGTAAGCTTAAATATAGCTATACTACTAATACCTAGTACTCTTAGAACTATAGTATACTTCTAATAGTAACTTTAGGCTATTTTAGTTAAAACTTACTTTCTTTTATTTAATATATACTACTATAATATCTTTACTTTAAGTATTCTATATAGTCTAAACAGCGTCTTAGCTGTAAATATTTAATATTATATTATTATAAGTCTTTAGACTAGCGCTAAGTATAGTTATATAGTCTTATAATATTCTTATTATATTATATTAGTATAGTAAGTAACTTAAGCTATAATACTGCTACTTAGTACTTATTTAACTATAGTAAGAACTTTATTATTATTTTTTTTACTACTAAGTAAAGCTTTAATAGTATTATTTTCTAGCTTAGTATATTTAAGTTAAGTTAAAGCTTCTTTATTATTAATTAGTATAAAGTTATATTTTAAGTAGTATATAAATAGTTTACTTATAGTAATATAGCCTTAATATAGTGTTTAAGTTATAATATACTATACTAGGATATATAATTTAGTTAAAGCTTAAAAAGAAAAAGTAGTTTTTTATAATAGTTATAAATAAAAGTTTATTTTTTCTTATTTTACTTTCTTCTCTTTTTAAAGAATTCTTATATATTAGTAATTTAAAAGTAATAAAGTATATAAATCTTTTAGTATTAGTATAAATTAGTTAGAATATTAGGTAAATTTAGCTAGATATAGTATAAAAGTATAAATCTACTCTTATATACAGTGTAATTTTACCTAACCTAGTGTATTTTACACTAACGCGGTACCTTAGTGTAGGCTTAATAAGATAGTAGAAGAAGTACTATATAACTTACGCTAGATTTCGTACGTAGGGCGATTTAGAGGGCGTAGAATTAGACTAGTATCTAGGCTAGAATAAGAGAGGAAATAGACGGTAAGGGAAGAAGCTAGAGTCCTAATCTCTTCTAGTATTTAACTAAGTGTATTAGATCGAACGGCATTAGCCCTATTAGGAAGTGTAACTTTAAAAGTGCTGTTAGACAATAGGTTGTATTTAGCACAGGGCATTAATTTGTAGTCTAATTGGTTTTTCTCTGCACTGGACTAAAACGCTCCAACATCTTCAAGGAGCCTAGAGTATAAAATAAACAAACGGCGTATCTTGCCTTACTGCGCAAATATGCCGCATCGGTTACCGCTTGGTCTCTGGTTTGGGTAGGAACTATGGGCGAGAAACATGAATTGTAACTATGGATAAGAAGGAGAGATAAGCCAACTGATTCAGAACTTCTAGGAAAGATTCTCTATGATTCACTGGGGAAGCGGTCTTGTACAAAGACTAACTGTTTACCATGCAGCGCCGTAGCAAGTGTACACATGGCCGAATATCATACACAATTCCTTCTACGTCGTTTGCTCTAACACGCAATGGGAAAAAGCCCGCGCGAAACCCGATTGCGTATAAACTAAAAATGCCTCATCCGCTTTACTCTTCCTCGAAAGAGTCCTGAACTTCTACGCCGCAACCCAAGTAGAACTGGTTGACCTCGTCGCCTGAGATCGGTTTTCCGCTCCACACTTCGTTGACAAACTCAGACTCCTGCTTGGAAACGCCCGCCTGGTCGGAACGCTGGCGCTCCGCCTCCAACCATGTAAGTCGTAGGTACTCAATGTGCCTCTGCGGAGATGGCGGGGAGTTCGATTCTGCTGACATGGAAGAGTGCGTTTCATGTATGAGAGACGGCTCAGTGTCCCGACGCCGGTGCGGATTGCGAACTATCTCATGATCTGTCGTGCTTGCAAATTTACGCCTACGACATCGCGTGATAGGCGTATTGGCTGCGGTTGCAGTGTTGGTAGCAATGTCTGCATCGGCTTCATCAACAGAAGTGGACGGTGCGCCCTTGTTGCGTTTCTTGGGCCGTCCCTTGTTGGATTTGAAGAACCCCTTGCACTCCGAAGCTGGAACAAAGCCACGGCTGTTGGCCTTGGTTGTTTCGACAGTCGTTGCCAGCCGACGATCGTCTTGGCCTTGGAGAAAAGCCCCAAGGAAATGAAATATCGTCCAAGCAAGGCGAGCATATAACATCTCAATACTAACAGATGATGGAGGAAGCGCTCGGTTATGGTAGAGATGTACGAGCTCCTCCGAGGTGTCGACAAGATGACAGACGAGTTGCGCGTCGTTACCCTCGCCTTTTGGCACAAACGTGAACTTCGGCCCATCAAAGGCCAAATGTAAGTCAACACGTAAAAGGATGGCATTCGCAACGTCGTCCATGTTCACAATGGATTGATTATTGTTGTAGGTAGCCATGCCGTTGCGTTCGAACCATGCCAATTCGGTCTGAGGAACAAGATGTGATGCGTTCAATTTCTCTCGACAGCGACTCAGGCGACAAGCCTTGTCTTGAGATCTCAGCGCATCAGAGAGATTCGAGCGGGAGCGAGCCGAGTTGGGGGCAGTTCGGTTTACTGCCATTGCCTGCCAATGAGGAGGCATCGCATCGTGTGGAAACTCCCATTCTTCAAAGTTGGGAACGACTTTGTATGGCTCTCCTTCTTCATCTTCAGGCAAAGGGTTGAGGTGGTAGTAATACTTGCGATCGCGTAACATGCTACCGGCCTCAACTTTGTTTATGCGCGCATCGTTGATATTTTGGTCCGTGGAGAGCCAACCATCATGGCGGTTGGCTGCGACTATGGCGCATGCGTCAAGGGCAAATCGCGCGTAAAGGCTTGATGTGCCAGAGGCGGTTTGGTCGGTTGCCCAGAGTGAGAAGAGAACGTTCTTTTTGTGGTAACCTGGATGGCAGAACTGAATAGCGAAGTGATCTTGCTTGGGGTATAAGGGATCTTGTAAAGGCAACCGAAGATTAACCATGGTTGACTAGTTGGCATATGCTAAGTTGAGAATGTCCAAAAGTGGTGTAGAGTTTACAACGGGCTGTCGCGTTAGAAGCTTAGACTAGTAGTTCCTTGGCGGGTATGGGTTCTACGCGGGGCAGTATTCAATCTACGACTCACGGTGCGAACTATCCGTATTTGACAATTACGCCACAGTCATAGCCCCGCGGATTGCGGGCTGACTATCAACCAATTAAATTACGTCGGCAAGTCAGTGCCTGTGCCCTCCTTGAATCTTCAGGCATGCCAAGTTCTAATTTTGAAGTTCTTGAGATCTTGCGCTACGCAATTCTATTGGCCGAGATCCGCGGGTTCAGTGTACCGGTTCATAAAACACAGTCTACAAAGCTAACTCGCCAATTACTAGAGAGTAGGGAGAACCTTCGTGCACTACGAATCTGCAACAGGAGGACTGCAAATAGCGTAGGTTTCACAGATGAGGATTCTCGCCGCCTATAGTCTGAAATCGCATGCACATATCACACCCTTACAATTGCTGCCATCCGAAGGTTCGGAAATGCACAGTGGGCATATGGTCGACACCCACCAAGCGCAATTCCGAAGTGCAGACTAGAATGTTGACCGCGTCGTGAATAAACACATCGCTCGATCTCACCGCTCAACAGACTTCCGATTCAATCCCTGATTAAGACTATCCGCTCTGCATGTGATTGCAGCAGTGCAACGGCTTGATTTGAACACAAGATATCATCAATCTCATAGGTCAGTCGTTGACCTGTGTTCCATTCGGCGCGCGTCACCTTGCTTCGGTACCAACTTTCTGGACTCCACCCCACTCCACCCCACCACACCCCAGTGACTACCCGTCTTCATTGATTAATCTATGATCCCAGCTGGCAAAGCACGCCCTGAAAAACGACTTGTCACATCTCAGCAAGCCGCGCTTTGCATGCGCTGAGGATTAGTGTTACACTCGTGGCAACTAATTCTTGATCAATGATAGCGCTCTTCTTGAATGCAGAAAGTCTAAATGTAGACACTACTGCTTTGAGGATTGCGAGTGTGTTGACTACCAGGATTTTGAGACGTTCTGTATTGGCGATAAGACCTGTATGAACGATATCGTAGACGCCATAAGATACTCTAGTAAGCGATCTACGCGAGAAATTTAGCGCCTAGAATGCATAGGTGCATGACAAAGTGGGTACGCCGGGTCGTCGCGCATTTCTACCGCTAGACCGGAAGGACGAAGTGGGTACTCACACCAGGAAGTAGCATGTTCACCGATTCCAAGCGAAGACTATGTCTGCTACTCCGCCGTCGTTCAATGCTATCCTGAGGATTAAGATTGATGCTAGTGCGCTGACACAATATTCTTTGCGTATCTGCTCGAAACAAAAGTCGATCTCTACCCACATTTGGATGCAACGCCCTTTGAGTAAGAAAAACGCTTTTAACCAATTGACTCATTCCTGGTTGTTATCTAACTACCTTGCGTCATAGCGGAAGGTGCTTCGATCGAGATAGGCATAATCTGAAATCTTGGAAGAAGCTGCTGTACAACGCGATGATCCGACTGACAAAACTGTAAATGTCGACTTACTTGGTGTTGTTCAAGCATGGCACAGGGATTAGCGCATGGAAGGAACCAGGGGTAGGCGAAATAGAAAAAATCAACGCTGAAACGGCGAAGCGGTAGTTCTAACGAATGATGTGAGACCGATACCTAGCGTGTCGGCGCGCTAGGGTGAGGACATATAGGTCAATGTGCAGGGCTCAGTAAAGCAGTCAAATCTCTGGGCAATTCACGTCGCCAAAACACCTGGGAATGATACGAGAAGTTGATCGGACGGAACAATCAAACAGACCCATATTTGGGACAGAGATAAGCGAATGGGCTGTTTATTGAAGAAGCCTGCGCAGAGTCTCGTTGTGCCTAGAGGCGAGGAAGAACCGTGAAGGCGATCGGGAAATGCGGTACTACGCTGGCATGTCTCGGGTTGGTCGGGAGTGGAGATCCACGAAAACTACTGACGGGTAGGTGCATCGTCTCAGGGATACATCAAAGAAAGAACTGCAAAACTGTTTGATTTTATCTGCATTGTCCCTATGCTGCTCGTATCTTTTGATAGTGTTTGCTATCTTGTGTGGATACCTTATGCCAGTACCCTGCTGTGTCTCCCTTTTCCTTTGTCCAGATCCAAGACTGTGTCACGCCAGACCGAGCAATGCCGTCACCAAAACATGAATGCAAGACAAGGTGCTATCTCCGTGCAAGTATCCCCAAGGCGGCGTTAAGTATTTTATAGAAGTGTGTCGCCCTTCTTTTCCTGCTCATCGTCTTCAACTGCTCCCTCACATCAGAATCTTTCAAATCACCATTCCACACCGTGATCATGGCAGACCAAAACCAAAACCCAGACAGGTACGCTATCCCATCCGCTCTTCTGCATCTTCCAGTTAACCAGCCAGCACGCCCCCCGCCGCGGAGAACCCAGTTGCCTCCGCTACGTACCTTAGCCTTCTTCAGGAAGCACGCACTGCAAACGGCGAGCATACCAGGTTCTTCGCCTTACTTTCTCAAATGGAAGCCTCATTCGAAACCGTGATAACTGGGAAAGACAAAGTGATTGCCGTCTGCGATGCGACAGAGAAGGCGCAAAACAGGCTGATCGCCGCCTTGGAGGCACAGGTTAAGGCGAAAGACAACCAGATCGCCGTCTTCGAGGCAGACATCAAGGCGAAAGATGCCGTGCTCACTCGCCAGGTCGAGGAGATCGAAACGAAACTGAACGAGGTTGCGGCAAGGTATGAGAAGAGGGAAGAGGCTAGGGATAAGCAGTCTCAGGAGTTAGTTTCCAGATTACAGATAAAGCAGACGGAAATGAAGGATACATGTGAGAAGCGGGTTGACGAGATGATGGTGCAGTGTGAGAAGCGAGTTGACGAGGTGACGGAGAAGTATAAGAAGATCCTTGACAAAATAATGGAGATGGCGGGCGAGATGACTCAAGGTTTGTTAACTTCTCAATGCGTCGCGCTGTTGGATATGCTGACATGTGTATAGGCAAAGCAATCGCCGAACTCTCTGGCAAGGCTGGCTCCCCCGACGCTCAGCATCCCAGGCTTGAGCAGAAAAACATGGTGGATGCACTAGGCCAAGTCAAGACCTTCTACGAGGACACGATTGCGGCGCGAGAGCTAGCGATCACCTCCCTCGAACGGCAGAACACTGATCTGAAAGAGCACTGCCTTACCATGGAGCGGGAGCTTGAGGCCTTGGTCGCTCGGGCCAAGTCATACAAGAAGCAGCTTGAAGTCGGTGTAAAACAACTGCACGACAGTGCGACTAACCTTGACAAAATAACAGACGAGTATCGGAGGTTATGCGAGGAGAGGTCTATACAGCCAGACGAATCAGCCAAGTCGTTGAAGGTAGCGGAGAAACTAGACGAAAGCATGGAAAAACTGAAGAAGTGGGTCGCTCAAGGTTTGTTTCATGTCTTCTGCCTCTTGTTGGCGAGTTTTGCTTACAAGTTTCTAGTACAAATGGCTGCCATCATCGTCGAATGCCTCGTCCGTTTGGTGCGCAACTCAATGGCCGCCCTGGAGAAGGCTCGTGTGGCGTTGTACGTCGACAAGATTCCTTTGGCATCGCAACTGAAGGAGGTCATGACTGTGGACTTGTTTGAGCTCTTGAAAGGAGAATATGACGACATCGTGGAGAAGATCAAGAACTTTGTGGAGGGAGAGGTGGTGGATGCGGAGGGAAGAGAGATGGATGCAGAGATGCACAAGATGAGGGTAATGTTGTTGCAAGGGCTACTGGAGGGCGAGGAGCTCGAGCAAGAGAACTAGAGTGAGTGGTACGCTAGAGTGGTACGGCCTTGATGGGTGCTGGCGAGGTCGTGCGTGTAGAGTTGGGAAGGCGGTTAATGGTAGAGCTGGGAAGGCGTTAGATTGTAGATCTTCAATTACACAACAAGTATTTGGTAACTTACAGTTTTCATCATGGTCAAGATGTAACAGGAGTTGTACGGGTTACATTTCAATGTGTAGGTGTAGGCCATCGCTAAATGCAAGTGCAATTGCGTTGCGGGTTGCGACAAGCCCCGCTCTTGGTCCTATGGCGGCGTTTTGCCAGGATAGGTACTTCTTCACGAGGGATGACGTGAGGAGACCAAATGTTTGATCTGTATGTGCTGGTGATGTTGCAGCCCGGGCTCATACACGGCGGATTCGCGATCCGTGCCTACACTCAAGATGGGGGTACATTGAGCGCCGTGTGTGAGATCGAATTACTGCTCAACTGTAAGCTCGTATCGCGCGCACCCTGTATGGGAGCTTGAATCGTGAGCATTCTTGGGTTTAGTCGACCCCTTGTTATTGAATGAGTCAGAATGACTCATCGACTCATGGACACACTTCAACACTCCCGGCCGACCGGAGCTCGAAATTCAAGGCTTTGACCGTGCATCCAAGTTGATGAACCTGATCGAAGTAAACTAGAAGAGGCCGAGTAAGCTTTACCTGTGAGGCACAGTCCGTAGTTCGATGAGCATGACTAAGTTTCAGGTTTTTTACTTGCGTCACAGCGTGGATTGCCTCGGCCAATCACATCATGCTACTTGGTAACATTACAGCATTAGACAGCACACCACAAGCCGGAACCAGCCTCAGCTGATACGACTCAAACAAGGCAACGCTGCCAAGATCTTCGGCAGCCCATTCCACGACGCGCAAAGCCCCATCCCACAAGAGCGCACAGCTTCTCCGCGCTGGCTATTCAGACTCCAGAGGCACTCTCAATAGGTAGAATGACCTCTGTTCACCATCGACGGCAACTTACGCGCTTTAGACATCTTGACGCGAGCTCGTGAAAGCAGGACTCATTTCGCCAAGCTCTTCTAAGCTTGCTGGTTGCATCCTCCCCAGGTCTTTCCACACAGGATTCGCCTGCTGATCGTTGAGCACATATCGTTAAGCACCATTGCTGCCATGCTTGAAACGAATCATCGTCAACCGAACAATACTTCCGGACTTTCTACGCGACGGCTCGGATGATCGCTTCACGTTGCCGAAGCCGCGTCTCGAGTGGAGCTTCTCGAAAGCCAGTTGCCTTGAACAGTCGTCGATTATACGTCACTTGCCTCCGTTGGCAAGAGCTTCAACATTAGAGCCGTTCTTCATCATCGTCGCTGGCGTCTTGCTAGGTCTCATCCCTGTCGGCGCTGCTGCCATCTCAGCCATTGTCGCGGACAATGTCAGCTGCAACGTTACCGGTGAGAAATCTCCACTCATGCCTTTATGCTATGCTCGCTGACGCATCCACAGACGTCAACACGACGGCCGAAATCACCTTCTTAGCCGGTAACACCACCAGAGCCGCCGCCGACCCCGACGCCTTCTGCTCAGAATTACCGTCCAGAAATCGCCCCAAGCCCTGATCACCGAGCCGCTGGCATCCCTTACACGTCGTCCACATACGAGCTACAATCATACAACCAGCATACATCTGCATCGCTTAGATGGCACAAGCGGACCGGGGCATGGCGTAAGCGGACCAGGGCATAGCCATCGCGCTCCACTCGGAGGACATACATGTCGGAGTCATGGCAGGCCAGGACGCCCATGATACACATCATGGCGGCCACGGCCGAGGGAGACTGTCGTCGGTCTTGGTCCCGTTTGCTGGAGGGGCTCTGACGATTATACATGCTGCCGCAGTACTGCTGGCTCATCACGATACAGCGGCAGCTGCCTCATGTATGCTGCCGCGACCGATCCTTCCTGGGGCTTTGATCGCTTGTAGCACTTTGCATGTCCTGGCGTCTTTGGAAAAATGGTGAGTTCTTACACACACAATCGCGACTGCTTGCCCTTATCGCCGCGAACCGATCGCCGCGAACCAAATACTGACCATCGCATTTCTTAAGGCCTCCGCAGTCTCACGAACTCTTCCATCACCACCGCTGTCGCACAATCCACGTCGGCTTTGATGCCAATTGTCCCCGCTTTGGCAGCATTGCACCTCGCAAAATCCAACCGCGTCTTCAACAACCCTCGTTCGCGTTGCGATATGCAGTTCCAACGTAACGACATTGAGCGTTGAGCGTCGAGCAACAACATTGCCAGAGTGACTAGTTGGTCACCTGCCAAAGAGATCCTATCGATCGATGTCTCCGCCCAGCTTTCTGGGACGAGCCGACGCATCAAGATGTGTATACGTGCCTAGCAACCTGCGTTCTGGACAGCTGATCCTCCAGGACAGCGGCTCTTGCCAACTTTGAGTTAGCATCTCGCGGACCCAAAATTTGCGCATGTGTTAGTCACGGCTCCTGCAGCGACTCAACTTTTAGCTTCACCTGCCGCATCTTGACAGTAATTGCTCGCGGTAGACCGTGTCATCGCTGCTGCTTCCGAGCACCCCGCTTTGCACGAGTGGAGCGACATCTATCACCATCGCTGCCTTACCATGACGGAATCTCGCACGATAACAACCCATCGCCGTCAGTCATCTTGCGCATCCCCGCGCATTCCAGTCCTTCTATCGCACTATCAGCGCCTTTGAAAGGCGTACTTCCAATATTCTTCTGTTCTAATACCCATCTCCAACATCGATCCGCGCATGACGGGGTCACGGCTTTTCGAAAACACGATGATATCTGCCAGGGCATAACGGGCTGAAGGCGACATGGAGGAACACAGGTCATTGGTCTGGATGAACCTGTGCATAATCCCCCGCGGACGGTGGGATACCTCACAAGCACACTGAGCTCCGCCATCTGTGGGACACACGCGATGGAAACCTTGTCACAGCGTTAGGCACCAGACAGACCTCACGTTTCATGCAGCCACGACGCAACCCGAGTTTGGCACCAGCCAATCCAGCACGGATAAGCCATCATTCTCCGCGAGCAATTCAGACGCAGGTCTCGCCCTACCAACATTTATCCGGGGCATTGCTCGCCGGGTTCCTCGGTCAAGCAACTCATCAACCCAAGACAATCGCTCTGACTCAAGGTCATGCGGCGCAGTCGTCAGCATAGCTCCAACGCGATACTCCCCGCGTCCAATCGACGGCCCATCAGATTCGTTTCGCTGCCTCGGCTTGGAAACTCTGTTAGGAAGCTGGAACTCATCCTCTTGTCACTTTCGTTGTCAGTGTAAACAAAGTGCGGGTGCGAAAGCAAGATGACGCCATGGATTGCGATTCAAGATGTGGGCAGATCGACAGATGTTCACCAACGATGCTGAAGCTCATGTCAGGTGGCCTGTTGCCAAATTCGCCGAACGACCCCATTGTACTTCTGCAACAACCAGCCCTACACGTCGCCATTTACTCGGCAACCCCCACTCGATCCCTACCGCTCGCAAGCTCGGGATTTGAAATGTCCGGCCCGCCCAAGTTCTCGAGACTTTCCGACGAAGCCGGAGGAGGCCGAGTACATTCTTCCTATCCTCGACGTGTGTCCTCCCCTGCCTGCCTCGCGTGCGCTGGTTGTGATTGGCTGCCTTGCCGGGGAACCGCAGCTCCGTAAGTTGCGTCGCACTGTCTGAAGGTTTGGATCTTTGATATACCAAACGATGTTCTCCAGCTGTTTCGCATCTTTCATACCAGAGACTGCTATGTGCAATGGCGGAGACATCCGTGAAGAAAAACCATGGTTCCAAAGAAGATCGCGCTCCATGCCTATACCTCATCATTGGCTGAGAGTTGTGCGCACTAGCACGATCACGTCGAGGATGAGAATGAGGACAGGAATCGCGGGGTTGATTTGTTTCTACAGGTTCCTGTGACTCTCAATCCATTGCTAATCAGAGGATCTGGCTTCCTTCAAAGACTGGGGGAGGAGAGACGCCGCAAGACGGGACCTGCGAACGGGACATGTTGCTGCAGAGCCCAGAACTCTCGTAGGTTCACCACATGTATCCATGATGCTGCCGAAGAATCAAGCTGGCCAAGTAGAGCAAGCAAAAGAAGCAAAAGAAGCAAACGCAGCCAAGACGAGCAAACTAACGGGGATAGCATATCTTTACAGGAGACGCTCATCACGAAAGGTATGCACGCAGGTTTCGGTGTCATAGTCTATTTGGTCTCTTGAGCGTTGTGCCTTGCTACCCCTCAACGAGAAATACTTTCGTCGTTCCCCGCTTAACCTCGTGCTGAATGGGAAGGGTGGGCTGTCCCAATACACAGATGGTTACCCGTTCCCTTTCGTACGGCTGCACTGCCGTTTCGCGCAGCAATCCAGCTCCTCCCAATTGTCTCCAATCCGCATTGAGAGCATGTTTGGCGTGAGTGCTGCGGAGTCCCAGTTTACACATTGCCTTTCTGTTTCCCCCAAGCCTGCGGCCATTTTACGGAAGCCCAGGCGCAGGATTATCAGCGGCTTTTGGCGCGGTGGGGGTGTGGATGCGAGACGGCGGAGTATTCGGCGGGGCGGGTACGCAGGCGAGTTGGAGTTTAGATCGTCATCCAGACATGCGCCGTCACCAGGGAGCTGTAGCCGTTGTTGGATGTGCATCATTGAGATAGCCGTTATTGGGATAGCCGTCATTGGAGTATACGAGGTGGGTCAGTTCAACGCGCGGTCGCAGGCGCCATTATGGCCGTTGGTCGGACCTGCATGTGTGTCAGTATCTTGCGAAGGGGCAGCAGCTGAGCATCTTACCTGCTGTCAAGCAGCACCGTGACTGGGTTCTGCGTCAGCTCCGTGTCGCCAACTTCTTCGCCGAACGCGTGGCATGCGACGGCGCGTATCGATTCATGGCCTCATTGCCGTCCTCGATCTTCCTCGAGGCGGGGAAGGACGCGTTGGCGCTTATGCTGGCGACACTGCCCATCGCGATATTGATGTCGGTAACAGACAGGTGTGCAGGAGAGCGGTTGATGCTGCTGTGCTGGTTGTAGCCGTCGACGCGCTTTGGTGTGGCAGATGCAGCTTGCTGAAGGTTTGAGCAGGCGGTTGCGGCAATGCGCCGTCATGGGCGAACCGTCATGGTGGAGAACGGCTTGGGTGCTGAGGGTGGTTTCTGATCATGATTGCGGCTGCGATGAGAGCGGCTTTCAAGCGCGTTGGATCGTTCGACTTGTCAAGCTACCAGATCGGGAATCATCCGCGCGAAGCTGCGAATTGAGACCAAACGTCAATGAAGGAACGATCTATCATGCGCGTCAGCCTGAAGAACGGAGGGCGTGGCTGCTAGACTGCGCGCTGCCGACAGAAGCTATGGGGAACTGCCGAGAGGCCGAGATGCTGCGGCTCGATTGGGTGCGGCGAGCTGACTAACGCCGCACCAATCGGCTGGGGGCTCGACCGAACTCAACTCATTGACATGAGATCGCCTTTTCTCGGCGTGAAGCTTGGTTTGGGTGTTGATAAGAGGTGTGAAGATGAAAGGAAGTAAGGGCTGTGCACTTAGAAGTTTATGAAAATCGTTCTTCTCGGCCTCAAGTGTAGTGTGGGAAGTGTACAGATCGTTATGCTACTTTTTGAGAACACTCTTCTCAGTGCAGACGTGAACGCGAGAACTATTAAGAGCTTCACGACCACCTTTGAAATTGGCAAAGGTCTCTCGAGTTCATGACTTGAATGCGTAGTACCTTCTTTGCAGGTCGCAGTACGCCCTTTGCCTCAACTTTTACGCCGGAGCATTGGCGCAAACAAAGCACACACCCATCAATATGAATTAGTCGCCTTACGGAACACAAATACAACACAAATCTGTAAGCAACTTTGTTTACAACCACTATGTTTCCAAAGATGCTTGAATATGCCGGCAGCAGACTTGTGCTTAGATTGAAAGTGGATGAAAAGCGTAAGAGATCGTTCCAACACCAGCAACGACGGTCCAGCATCACCGTGAACTCCACGTAGCTGCTCACCCAAGACATACTACTCAGAGGGCTTGGGCTCATGTATCAGCACCGCAAACGACATTGCTATCCCCGCTCTACTTATTCGATAGGTTATATGTGATATAAAAGCTTCTATTAGGTGAGTTTGCACTCTACCCCGTAACGACTAACGACTCGTAACACGTCCATTTTAATCGAACTGTCGGATCCCAAAACACCTGGACAACTCTGTTCCACTTGCCGTTAACGCTAAATCCTGTATCGGCGTCTGCTCTCCTTGATAAGCCACCTGATATTCCCATGTTCGCTCGTACGTTCATTGCCAAATCCAGTCAATATAAGACTCATCTCGCAGTCTCCGCCTCCACGTGCGACGCTGCATGACATCCTCTTGGCCGTTCTGGGTCGAATGTCAAAATGATGTCTCCAAGCTCAAACAGCGCCTCCACGCGGCAACAAAATAATCGTTGTCAAGAGCACCTTTCCTCATGTCCGACTATAGCTCATTTCTCATATTTGTTGAGCGGTATCAGTGACTTCTCAAGGCTTAATCAATCCAGTTGAACCTGCGCTGTGTAGTTGCTCATCGTCACCGTCATCTTCGAAGGCTTTCTTTGCGGAGAATATAGGCATGGAGATGATTAATCGAGTTCCTCTGATCTTGCTAAGCTCAGCATCTTCCTGACCCGCATCTTCAATTCGTATGAGACCGTCGTGTAAATGTATGCGTAGGACGTTCGCGAGGCGATGGATGTTCTGGATAAGTCCTCAGAAGACTTCTGCGCCGCTGGCAAGGTACCATGAAATGGCGCCTCGAGTTGCGCCACGACCGTCGCTTCTTCGCTGCCATTACTAAAGGGTCTCAATATTGCCTCATCGTCCCTCGATGTTGTAATTTGGCTACAGAAAACAAATATCCGGCTGCTATGTTCAAGCAAGCTCATCGCGGCGACACTCAGCTTTGAAGAATAAACGAACCTCAACGCCAAACTTCTGCGACCTCCTCGCCCGGCACCCGCATATCGTCGACCCTACCCTACGTTACGACATGAAACAAAAGTACTCAATGTAGTGGACGCAGAAGCTTGCTTTCGAGCGTCTTGTGTGGTTCTCAATGATGAGGGGCTTTGTGATATATGTTTCTCTAACAATGTGGCATAGCACCGGATCTTGCTATACCGTATACTGTGTTTAAATTCACAACCTCGTCTATTGTTTCCTGTGCATTTAAACTTTTGCGAGCATTACAGTCTCAAACCAAGTTATAATTTTCCTATTCAATGACGCGCACATTCGCAAGTACATTATATAGCGGTGGATCAAGTAATGGAAATTGGGGGGGGAGGCACGCAGGACTCTTACTTATTACCCTTGGTTCCAAGTTAAAAAGTTGCCATCGGTAGACCACGAAGTTTTTGGAACACCTGCTTTGTATATGACTCCAGCCGAATTGAGCGGAACTCAGCCTGACTCAACGGATTGGCCCAATACAGGTCATGTGAAGAGCAGGTGTTTCGTAAACCACCTATATCTGTTAGCATATGATAAAACATCTCACAGGCTTCTGCGGATTGTCGCCTTTCAGAACAAAAACATGGACCGAAAGATTTAAAGACCGGGAGGACTTGTTTTGACACAACATGCATACTATGCAGATAGCGAAGATTATAACCAATGTAGAGCAGGGAGCTACCGCAGATACGGTGAAGGACTGAGCTTTGTTGCACTAGTCCTGGTATTCTTAACGATAACGAAGTGGACTTGCGTTCTGTAAGAATCATAACCTTTCTGTGATCACCGCCCACTCAGTTGCAACGGCTGTAAAAACAGGCCGATATCAAATCTCAACAAGGCGTCTCAACAATGACTTTGGACGATGAGCTGGGAGAACATGGAATCTCCAGCTGGATCTGCACGACGATACACTGATTACACGATTTGACACAGAGATGTAGCAACTTGGTCATTCCCCAAATGCTTGAGCTACTGCGACGTCCTTGACTTACAGAGGCTCGCAGTACACGTCCAAGATTCTTGACTTCATTATCACCTCCATCACTGAACCAGGCTAAACAGCTAGTACAGGTCGAAACGGAAACCCATTAGAGTTAGTCCCCATACTACGATTTCTAAGATTCGTTTTCCCCGCTGACACGGCTCCTTGGTCAAAACCTCAACGTCAGTCCCTTGAAGCCCAGAGAACCTTACAGACACCTTCACAAGACGCGATTATCGCGCAAGACTGAGCAACTCCGAGCTCCTCTCTTCCATCATTCTCTTCGGGTGCTGCCCTTTCCAACGCTGGCATTGAAGACGGGGCCAAGAAGGTATCTCCTTTCCAAAGATCGTTTGCTAGATAATCCATTATCATTTGCTGTCGTTCTAGTTATGAAAATACTGGGATATTTGATCGCGGTTCCCAACACAAGTGTTGAAGGGAGCAGGCTACACTGTGCAGCACTAGAGTCTATGTTGGAAAGAAGATGTAATCGTTGTCCCGCGAGGAAAAGGTATAGCAGCACTCAAGGATGGTTTCGGTGCTTATGAAAAGTCTGCTGGAGACGAACATTTGTGCTTATTGAGTAAGCTTGCATGTTGCGTAAATGGAAAACTGGGACACAGCAGTCAGCAGAAGTGAGCGAATTGAGGAAGTCTTGAAAGGTTTACACAGAAGTTAATCTGACATACAGCTACTGGATAGAACACGGCGATTTGGTTATGTAAGTAACTGAGGTCGAAGTTTCGATTGGTGATAGAGCAGATTCCCAAGATATAGATTTCGACAGGGCGAAGTTGGGAAAAGCAGAGTGTTGGGAACTATACTTTTGCAAACGAGCTCGTTCGAAGCAGCAGTCTCCTCTCTTGACGCTACCTCACGTCTGCCAGAAGTGCGTGCTCGCCGGTTCGGTCTGATGCTGACGCAAATATCACGTGGTAATGTTAGTTCACAACAACGCATCTTTGGCCCACCCCTGCACATGTTCTCACAAAAATGCTGACTTCCTTTTGTGGCACTAAAGGCTCGGTCTAGACTTCGTGTTTCAATCCTGAAACATCTACCCATGCGCTATGGATGCGATAGGACTTTGATAGGGGGTGTATTTCCAAGGTGGGTCCCAGAGCAGCCATAGCCAAGATTCTCTGCTATCAAACTCACCTGCTTACGTCAATGTATGCAACGAATAAGAGATGCCGCGTCTAGCTACCCCATCCAAGATCCACCTTAGAAATACACCCTCCGTAGGTTGTAAGCGTCTTGGACAGACACGTATAATTCCTTAGGTTGCAGTATGATTTGGCACTGTCGTATCTTTACCAGACGTCATATTATAAACACAGAATGCAGTGAATCACGTGCACATGCAAGATCAGAGATAATAGACCGCTACAAATATTCGCGGGATGTTCATCCGGTTCCCCGCGGGTGGCAAGCTTATTGAGATGCATGTGGACGCATATTAATCCGCTCTGATGTGATTTATCATGCAGCACATATGCAAGCGGTAATGTGGAGTACATATGCAAGGGGTGTGGAGACAAGTTGCGCAGCCGAGCACCAAGACCCTGCAAGATCCCAGAAACCCGGTCCCATCATCCCACTGCGCTTGGGAGAGTGGGGCGCGATTGAATTTATCTCTATCGCGATGTGTTTTTCTAGTACGACTCTGTTGACAACCTGCCCAACTATACTTGTAGCCGATAGCAAGCTGTAGAGCGATGAAGAAGTCCACGATTACGCTAGTAACATACATGTCTTATCTTTGAGGATCGTGGTTGCATCGGTTGGGTAAGTGCATGCGTTGAGGGACCATCGCGCAGCCACATCCGAAAACGGATACGCAGCAAGGATAATCCCTGCCATCTTTCTTCAGAGTACATTGCGATCGGTTCCTTTTGGCTTCAGTGAGTATCTTCCCCGCTGAGCTGACCTAGCAATCAGTATCTTGTGAACCGCCTACTGCATTTTGTCAAACTCCTTCGCCGAACATCACAGAAGATAGTTACAAAATTTGCTGCGTCATGAATGAGACTACTAGTACTTTCCGGTCTCTCGGATTCTCAAGTTACACTCACTAGATAAATATGTTTATACCTTCGATCCTGCCAGGACCAGAAACGGGTAGGCACGTTTGCGCGCATTGCCACACCTGTAGCTGTCCGGGTATTCCATCTCTCCACCTCTGCAGTTACGTAGTACAGGAAGCAAGTAATAAGGACTCCTGATGGTAACCATGTTGCTTGTACTTCTAGCACGTCAAGGTTGTAGGTGACAGTCGTTAAAGTCAATCAATTCTCTATATCATTGAATTAGGCTATACTCGCACACTCCCACCTTCCCCTTTACGCTCGCCGCATCATTTCGTGCAGTCCAACCATCGTCAAGTAAGAGCCGCTCTTTCTCTTCCACCTGCGATAGCTAAGCCTCATCTAGCATGTTCATCCAAAACCCCATCTCCCACTCTCGCAAATTTGTCCGACGATCCTCGCGACTCAGGCGGTATCGGCCCACTCCCCCCCCGCCGCTGCGCCGCTCAGCCAGACTGGTGGCTCAATTGTGGCGTGCCCGGATGAATCGTTCCAACTGACTTCCCTGCTGGATCTTCCCTGAGACGAACTGGAGTTGGGGCGAGAAATCTGCCGATGCGGACATGGCTTGAGAGAAACAGATTTCAAGCATGCGTTCGGGGATGCAGACAATACTTTGGACAGGCAAGAGAGTGTTGGAAAGCTGCAAATTACTGTGAGAAAGTATCTTCGTGTTTGGTCTTCGATCTCGGCCACTACCCCAAACCATCTACTGTCTATATGTGGAGTCCGTCTCTATTCTTAGCGAATTTCAAGCAAGACTCGCACACTCCGTGACATCCCGTTCTGCGTTGTGACATGACTGAATCCTTGAATATCATGAAGTCCGCACGTAATGTGCCACTGATAATTTCGTAGGAAGGTTTACGTAAGGTGCTTTCTGGATTCTGACCAGTTTGTAACAGGCCACTACTGTTCGCATTTGAGGTCTTTTTCCTGGTCCTTGAACAGATGCAAGAAGAGCTTGAATCACAAGAATGGCAGAAATTTTGTGCGCATCTACTCCTGTAGTTTTGGTGGATAATTTCTGCGGAAATGTATGCAGATATATCTGAATTACATACTGCATCAAGGTCCTTTCTACGTTGCCTCCTCTCTTCTCACCCCCTGTTCGGTTGAACTTCTCGTTCCCCAAACAGTCTTACAACTTCACACTGCGATGCACCCCCTTTGGCCAAAGATCCTAGCCGTAACCAGAACCTACGATTCGAGATATCTTCTTCAGCCAAAAGCATGTCGTTCCGTCGATGTTTCTGGACAAAACCTGCGAGGATAAGGATAATACAGATGAGGCCAACAGTCGGACAGAACCCTACTTATATACGGCCCTCAGTGATGACAGTGTCAAAATTCCATGGATCTTCGAGAGGTTTCAACTCGCGGCAGGATACATGCGTGGCTCGCGAATCATGTAGAGAATTCTCAGTCTAGAGAAAGGCGAGGACTTAACGAACGACCGATCCACCGGTGCGGAAGGTTGTAGATGGGGCATGAAGGGTATAGGAACGCATGCCATGGAAAATCGGGATTGTGGGATAGCGCGAAAGACTAAAGAAACTTATAGCGACATCGCGGTGAATAAAGTGAAGGGGAGAAGATTGATGTGACTTGATGTTGAAACGTCCGGAGAAGCATATTCAAAAACGCAGTGGCGAAGATAAGGCATAAACTGGTGTGAGTCCAATGCAGGGATCTGTGTGTTCTGTGCGTTTGATCTACTAAATATTCCGGACTTTGTATGTACTACCGGCCCTCAAGCATCTTTGGCACGCTCCCTCATTTCCCATGCAGTTCTACCAGTACTGCCTTGGATGTCTATACTCTCAACCGTCTATTCGCCTTCCTATTCACTACCACTCAGAGGACTGTCAACAATTACACAAAGAAGCCCTTTGATTACTCTCGGCGTGTTCGTGAATATATCCTCATGAGATCGTTGAAGTCCCTCGAAATGACGGGCAGGGTGAAGGTTGTTATGATTTGTCGGCATGGTGCACGTGCAAAACGTCGAATAAGTTGTATTTTGTAGCTGTTTGATTTGTGTTAGCGGATTGTTGATCTGTGCAGGACTGACCGAAGATGCGCGGTGCATGGGAATGTTGCCAATTGGATGTTTGGCAGTGGTTCTCTGAAGGCGAAACTGTGGCGTGCAGGGTTGGGTTCGAAATCGGCTCTTTGTCAGTGGTATCTTCTGTGGGGAAAGGCACGCAGTAGATGATCTTGTTTGGAAGTCAAGGTGCGCATTGACTACTGAAACCTCGCTGCGGGATGCGTGATGTATAAATCACACAAAGTAGACCCCTTCCTGCGCCCAGCACGAGTTGACATTTCCCACACGACGTTATTCGTGATTGCCGAAGACCCCCGGCATCTGCTTCTAGGTGCCGGATAGGACCAACATGCCTCGACGCAAATGCTCGGTGATGATAGACTGACGATCCGTGATGAGATGGGTGCGGTTTTGGAGGCGACATGACTGTGTATTTCCTGGCTAGGAAGGCTCGTGTTCGGCGGAGTTTCCGGTACGTGTAGCAAGATAGCAAGATAACCAATGGTTGTCTGCATTGCAACGATTAATCGAGTGAGGCATAAGTAAAGGTTTTTGGGCCAAGGGGGGGCTGGTGAACGAGCTCTTCTCATCTACGAGATTCGAGTGCAGCCGTCGCGATTGTCGACGTATAGCAGCAGAGCGTGAGCACAGTGACTAGCAATGAGAGTAGTCGTTTTTTGGCGTCAAGAGTATATAAAGGGATTGCGTGAATCGTGAGAAAGGCACTCTGGTGGGGTCCTCGGAAGCAAGGATCCGCTTGACAATCTGGAGCATAGATATCGGTTCCTTCAAAGGGGTACGCGGTGACTGGGCCGCGATCGCGGCGGATTATGACGTCATGGTATGGCCTGGAGAGTTTTGTTGATGAAGGTCGAGATGACTTAGTGGTTATCGTGTGTCTTACCCGCGCGTCGAGTTCTCAGCTTGCTCGACTATCATGGACCCCTTGAGGTGGCAACGCTCCTCGCACATGAAGCTACAGTCTATGCGACCTCACTAAACGCAATGGCGTGATTGCAGTGTGTGAGATCTTCGCATCCATATACCAAGCCGAGTCGCGGCCCATGGTCATACCATCCAAGGCAAGCGACGCAGTACACGCGACATGTACATGTAAGACTCGTGGGTATCCTCTTCTTCCATGGTAGCATTGGGTGACTTGCACGCGTACGCTATGGTCTTGCAGGGGAAGCTGAGAGCAGGATATCAGCGCGCGCGCTTCGTTTACGTGGGGCGGCAGGTGCCATAGCAATGACTCGAGGCCGGCGCCTGAAGTTGTCACGTGTGATCCGAACGCATCTGGCAAAGCGTTGGCGTCAGTACAGAGTAGCAGGTAGGACGACCCGGCTTACACATCATGTCGAGGCTGCTCCTACGTCTCAGACGTCTAGCAACCACAGGCGCAACTTTGAAGAAGTTGCAATTGCATAGCTGATCTGTTGTCTTTGTGCCTTCCTCGCAGCAGCATGTGCCTTCGCGCAGCATGCGTTCGTGCCGCCCCTCAATCTCTCCCTTCTCCGTCAGCAGCGTGTATTAGGTTGGTCATGGCGTGGTATCGGCTGCGCATGACGCGCGTGATGCTGGATTCGACTCAGATATGCGCAGAATATTTCATGAGCGGGACATAGAAGTGGTTGAGAGCCTTGCGACTCCTGGGGTTGCTGATTCCGTAGAGCTGGTCCAAGCATATCTTGGCATCTCCACAACTCTTTTCGTCTTAGCTTGAACTTCGCTGGGGAAAGGATCAAAGCGCAGCAAATGCGCGTCACTGAAGACCATCTGCTATGTTTCTGTTCACGTCAGGATCACCACAAGAACGCTCTAGATTATTCATGGCAGCTCCAAGGAAGTTTGTCCATTATCCATGCTGGAGCAGAGCGGTTGATGAACCACGCCCCCGCAATATGAAGGCCAGATGGACTCGCATACAGCGCTTCTGACGGATTTGATTGACAATGAGCCGTCGCCCGAGGAGCCAGAGATCTTTGCCGATATCGATGCTGAGCTCGAGCCAGAACCTTTGGGATGTGACCAAACAATATCCTACGAACTCTTCTCCGGCACCAGCTCACTAAGCACATTGTGGTATACGAACGGCGCTCCACGTCTCCAAGTCTGTTTCTGTTAGCAACTTGATCTACTTTATGACTTCTTACAATTGTAATAAAGCGTTTTATTGCTTTTGTTCACACATCTTAACTTAATTGCACTTCTTGAAAATTTATGATAAACATTGACACCAGGGAGGGGAGCGCATGTAGAAACGTGTGAGCTAGCTGACCACCGTAACGGGCTGGCCCTTAACCAGCGTAAAAAGATTGGGCTGGAAAATCGCAGTGCAAGCCAGACTTGGGTAACAGTCGTGAGCCTGTAGAGTGTGTCTTGGCCGCTGTCTGCGGGAGATACATGTGAAGTGGTGATGGTGTCATGGCATAGTAAAGAAGGTTCGAGGCAGGCAATACGAGTAGGTAGGGATGGAAGGAACTAAGCAAGCTGCGGTTTACAGGTTAAGACAATACCTTAGTGTGGTCGTGGGTGTGCTGCAATCCGCAAAGTATCCATACGGGGAAATGATCTCTGTGACTTTGATCGAGTTTGCGAGAATTGACTGATCTTCAACTTTACACGGGCGCTACATTTATCACCTCAACGAATGGATCGAAAACCCTTTCAAAATTCAACATCAAGTTCTGTAACTCTTAGTCATTCAAGACCGTAGTATGAGATTACATTCATCGTGTATTGAGCTGAAGGCGGGTAACAAGTCTTCGAAATAAGAGGAAATGCTCGAAAGTTAGAAGATCGACTGCATTTGACAACCTCAGTTCGATGAGGCAAGAATAGATTAGCAGCCTTGCAACGCTTGCTCGACAACGGCGCTGGCGTTCAAATTCGAACTGTTACACGAGTAGTCCCAAAGTCCTACGTGTCATGACTTCGATGGTCCAGGAGAAGTACTGCTTCAGCACACTCTGAATGAGATTTCAGCACTAGAAATCATGAGTGATTCGTTTCATTCTTGCAAACTATTGATTTTCGATTATACTAGCTTCAAGTGGTACAAGTCATGTTTTTGAAATGCTGCTTTCGGGGGATTTCCCTCGCTATTTCTACAATGGTTTGAGTTTCGTGTGGTGCAGGTCATCTCACTACTGGACAATGATTCTATATAGGCGATACAGAATGATCATGATATATACAAAACTCGAGAGACTAATCTTTACTCCTGTGCAGTTTCTTGATCATGAGGGTTATCCGAATCTGGACTCTATGTATCTCGATACTGTCATGTAACTTTGAGATAAACGTTGCACCAAGCTAACCAATGAAACAAAGAACTCGCTGGTGTTTGTACCTGCTTCCATGCCGTAGCATCGGAGGGTTATAGATATACGGATCGGATTTAGTGCGCACGCAAGCTTCCGAGGCTCGTAGCGAAAACTCCCAAGTATACTATGAGATGAACCCTGTACAACTTTCAATCAACAGAACTTGTAGAGAGGGCGACATCATGTTTGATAGTAGCTCTCTCTCAATCGGCGATTTGGATAGAATCGTGATTGTGTGGTAGTGGCCAGTCTCCAAGGTTATGCTGAGACCAGGGAGATGTCTGAAACAATCTACTAATCGTCTTAAATCGATGGCTCCGCCAGAGGTCACGTTCAAATTTGTAGCCGATATGCGCGGCCAATTTTCGCCTCCGACGTTCGGTCTCAACAGACCGAAAGGTTGAAGAGAAGTCGCAAGGTCGTAACCTTACTAATAGAGTACTTGTTCACCAGTATGCTCAGGGCGCTAGTCTCCATCAACCCATATAGTCTATCGGATTATAAGAGATCTACATATCCTGCTCGTTGAGTTCCTCGCTATAGCTTGCAAGAATCAAAACTGAATTACCAAAACATTATTCGTGCTCAAGTCATGAGATTCTCAGATAGTCTTCTTTCTAGTTTCTCCATGCTCTATCAAACGACCCCAACCTCAATCTTGGGAATACACATTCCTGTGTAATGACAACGTGTCACTTATTCATATTTCATGGTCGCCACGAAAGAAAAATCTCCAGCGCGAAACATTGATTAAGGGACGAGGTTCTTGGAAAACAGTCTAGGGAATTACAATTTCCTGGATTATCATTCAATCCTACATGTGGATTACAAACTACGGTCAGAACCGTTCCATAATTGAGCATTTACTTCGTTCTTCTGGGCAGCCACAACCTCAGAGCCTGAAGTCCTCTTCAGTCCGTATGACACCCTCGGCTCCTACCTGCCTGATCCCAGCGCCATTCCAGATACTTCTCACAAAGCTAACAACTGACTGAGGTTATGGCGCATTCGAAACTCACTGCTAAAGATAGCTTGTTCTATTGACTAAGCGACCACGATCTATGAATTCCAAAGAAATGCTGATATTCTTTACTGCAGCCTCGCTGCTCTCCGCCCAACCATTGCATAAAAAACCCAAGCTAGGTCACAAGAACATTGGGCGGAACGTAATTGGAAACCGGGGCTTCACAGCCCAAATTTCTCCGAGTGCGTAGGAAGTACAGGTTCCACAAAGAGTTCTCCTGTCTAAGGTTGTCGTTCTCTGACGCTCGTGCAACAACATAACGGAACCCTTTGTGTTCCAAGCATTTAGAAGCCCCATCATGACTATAACCACAACTACACGTACCTTGAATCACTTCACTGTTCCCCTTTCCACTTCATCACGCCTTCTGAGCAATATGCTTCGTATGACAGATGGACCAACTCGGCATTCATCTCGTCCCAGCAGAGCTACAACTTCGTCAACGCAAGGTATTACGATCAGTCATCTTGTGGATTTGATAGTGTGATTGGGCGCGAGAAAGTCTTGCCGTTGGACTGATAGACCGTGGAGCAGAGGATATGCGCTCTTGAGGGAATTCATCGTTCGCGTGTAAACCCCGAGATAAGACAATGCAGCTGTGTAGGGACTTGCGGCGGAGTTGGGCGTATCTTGATTGGTTGGATCACAAATACGGGCATAAGTTTTCACCGTGCGCACTTGAGAACGACATGTTGGTGATGCTAATTCGATTTGGGTATCAACCTCAGAATGGGCTTACGGAGGCTAAATTGAAACAACAAGATATCAGGTTTAACAGGTGGTTTCTAGAGAAGAATAAGTGTCACTTACAATCTATCTCGACGCTCTTGGCTTCGGAAAGACTCAGAAGGGCAGCGAAGAGCATATGTTCATAATAACGATATCACTGTGACCGTTATCAAGACTTGATTACGCCATGATAAGCCTTATCATAACGGTCGTGCCGCTCCAAACTGTGGTGAAGGCTAGTTAGGCAAACGGATGATGCGCTATCTGCACAGTACCTTCTTTCACTATGCCCCACTACGAAATTTTGACAACCTATAACTTCCTCCCCCGCCTCCTCAACACCTTCACGATTGTCCACGGCCTCTCACCTCCATACCCTATCGCTCCTCAACCAAACGATTGTCGGGGCTCGGAAAGAGAGGACTGATAATCAACCCTAATCTTTCGCATAGTCGGCAAGTGAGTCAAGCACCCCCATCAAGCATTTGCAACCTCGCGTACGCTCTTCAGCGTTCAACTTCTTTCGCTCTTCAGTCTCACTGGCGAACCGACGCCCGCTTGCCCTCGCTTGTGCTGGCACAGAACTCGCGCAAGACACACTGAGAGAGATTCGCCATTAGCGAGCCACGCGCCCCGCCATCGATTTGCTTCCTTCCATCACATTCTGACTCGCCTCAACAGCATCAAGTATGACTTCTCCTAGTGAAGTACCGGAGAAGCTCAACAGCGAACCTCGAAAGGTCGCGATCCGCCCGGAACTTCATGAGGCCCGTTCAAAGTGGCAGAAGTTGATCAAGGGAGGCACGTACATGCGCTAGCCATTGAAGACATAGTGCTGATAGATCTTTACAGACATCTGGAACGGTAGCTTTCTGAACTGGGCGCTGGGTCACCTCCTCCGTACGGCCGAGAAGAAGTCTGACAAGGCCAACGAAAAGCAGCGTTCCGAAGAGAAACCCAGCGGTCTCGATGTGGATGTTCGTGATGAAGGAAAGCTCGAGAACATTGTCAAGACAGACCCCCGCAAAGTCGACGAGCCCATCGCCAACGCCAACGCCAACACTATGTGTGAGTGGAACAACATGTCAGGACGATACACTATCTCTAACACATCATTGGATGCAGCTCCTCCGCCGACTATCCTCGAAGAGCAACGCGCCTTTACCCCGGGCTTCTACATCCCCATCGCCACGGCCTTTGACACCCCGCCTGACGTGCCCGACGTGCCCAACTCCAGTCCGACTGAGACGGAAAATGCGAGAGCAGAGGAACAACGTAAGTACTTTGAGGTGGATAGCGTTGGACATGGGATACTGATTGAGACATAGTCATTGACTGGGAATGGCTCGAGGAACTCGATCGATCGTTGTGGATGGTGGATCCTGATTGGCAAGATCGATTTTGATCTCCTTATTGGGAAGGGCTGAGTGGGTGTAAGCGGCAAAAATCTGTTAGTGCGCTCAAACTGCGCCGTAGTTTTCCTGGTTGATGGATGAGCTACGCCCGCTGGCGTCCTCATGAAGACGCTCTGCCAATGACA